TGGGCTCAAGTGATCCTCCCATCTCAGCCTTCTGAGAAACTGAGACTATAGGTATGTGCCACAACACCTAGCTAATTTTTTGTATTTTTTTGTAAAGACAAGGTCTCACAATGTTGCCCAGGCTGGTCTCAAACTCCTGGCCTCAAGCGATGCTCCCATCTCAGCCTTCCAAAATGCTGGGGTTACAGGTGTGAGCCACTGCGTCTGGATAAAAACTCACTTGACCTTACAGAGTGATCTTCACTGGTCACACATAATTATTCTATATCATGTATTTAGTATAGCCAATTTAAGCAGATTGTTTTGACGGAAGACTTAGTCCTGAAGATTGGTGTTTAGTTTTATGAGTCATAAGCGCCCCCAATAAAGAGTAAACTAGATATAAATTTAAGCCTTACAGCTCTACATCTGGCCCTACGGTAATTTTGCTTCATGGCTCATTAGGGATGTGGTAAGGGGAAGTCTCTGATTCTAGCCTATTTCCTGGCGTTCATATAAACATTATCTTAGTAATGAAGTCATGATTTCTGCCCAGATGCCAGCTTCCAGAGAGCAAAAGAGAAGTTGTTCTCCCCATACCCTCCCCCAAGTTTTAGGATTTACTGTTGTCATCCCTGTGTCATTCCAGCCCAAAGCCTAGGCATAATTTGCCTGGGCAATTTTTTTTTTTTTTTTTTTTTTTTTTTTTTAGTCGGACTCTCACTTGGTCGCCCAAACTGGAGTGCAGTGGCCGCTCCCGGCCACCGCAGCCTCGACCTGCTGGGCTCTGGCGATCCTTCCGCCTCAGCCTTCCATGTAGCTGGAATTACAGGCATGCGCTACCATGCCCGGCTGATGTTTTGATTTATTGTAGAGATGAGGTCTCGCCTGCCCAGGCGAGTCTCGAACCCGCAGGCTCGGGCAATCCACTCACCTCAGCCTCCCAAAGGTGCGGGATTATAGGCTGAGCCACCGAGTTCGGTTTTGGATAATCTTAAACACAATCTTTTATTCCACCTTTGGAGCAGTTGTTCCTCAGTGGCTCCACAAATGAACTCACTTAAGATCAATTTCAGAAAAAAATGTAATTCAGACATGTGTATAATGTACAGTCTTTATTTTTCCATTAGCTCCTTTAAAAAAATTGGTGTTAACATTACTTTTAGGCACCAAAATGACATTGTTGATCATTTATGAAATTGTTTTGCAAAGAGTAATTATTTTTCATGCTCTGAAAACAAGGCTACCTTGTTTTACTGTAAATATTTTTTAAAACTCCTTTTAAAAATAAAGTCATATATGCTTATTGTATTAAATACAGAAAAGTAAAAAAGGAAAGGGTAATTACCCATATTCACACCATGCAGCTATAACTATTGCTAATAGTTGAACATATTGTCTTCCAGCATTTTTTTCTATATGGACATATTTTTTTCTTATACTTTTTTGTTTTGTTGGGGGTTTTTTTTTTAGTCAGAGTGTCACTCCGTCGCCCAGGCTGGAGTGCAGTGGCATACTCTGGGCTCTGACGATCCCTCCGCCTCAGTCTTCCAAGTAGTTGGAACTACATGCATGCACTACCACACCCGGCTAATTTTTTGATTTATTGTAGAGAGGAAGTCTCACCATGTTGTCCATGTTGGTCTCAAACCCATGGGCTCAGGCAATCCTCTCGTCTCAGACTACCAAAGTGCTGGGATTACAGGTTTGAGCCACCGCATCCGGCCTATTTTTTAATTCTTTTGTAGAGATGAGACGTTGCTATGCCGCCTAGGCTGGCCTTGAACTCCTGGGTTCAAGCAATCCTATCACCTTGGCCTCCCTAAGTGCTGGAATTACAGGTGTGAGACACTGCGCCAAGTCAGAGTTAGTCAATCTTCTAATTATCTTTGATCAAAAGCAATCAAATCTAAGGCTTTACAAAGATAGAAGATAAAGTTATACCTTTGCAAAGAGAAAAACCTCTGAAACATGATTCTGGGATATCTCTTTGGCTTCTGAGTTTTTTAGAAAATTTCCTACTCATTATCATCACATATTCTAGAGTCATCTTTTCAAATAAAAGTTTAAAGGGGGGGGGTCAAAAACTTCCTTTAAAATCTGTTTCTGATTTTTTGACAGAAAAAATAATAAAATGCTCCATTCATTTCCATGTTGTCGTTTTAAAATCTGTTTGTGATATTTTGGCAGAAAAAAAATAATAAAATGTCCCATTCATTTCCATGTTGTCATAGTGTTACTGAAATTCAGAGGCCTCTAAAATCTGAAAAGTGCTCTTTGCCATAACCAAAGATGACACTACGAAATCACTCATCAAAAAATACACTTTGAGAAACTCAAACAAGGATGATGACCTTTCATTGATTTGCTAGAATTTTCTCATCGGTCCCCTTTAAGACCAAAGGTGTGCATTTGCATCAGCCAGTAGCAGGGATGCCGGCGGACCTCATCCTGAGACCAATGAAAGCAAACTGGACTTGATGAGGATCGATCTAGGACCTCATCAATCCCACATCCTAGACAAAGGTCAGTGTAATTAGATGATTTTAAGTAAACCGAGCCCATGAAAACCTAGAATAACAGAATGATAAACTGTGAGGTGATATTTGCTTTAGAAAAGAACTCTGTCCCAGGGAATTCCTTTAAATAACAAGCTCTCTTTGTGTATTTAAAGTAAGATTCAACTGTATTAAAACACACCTTTCAGGAATTAGCTCTGGAGGGGAGTCTTGTACACATGCACTTCCTGTTTTGCTGGGAAATATTTTAAATACAGTATTACTATTTGACACATTTAACACAGTAAATAATCGCTAAGGTTTCATTTTAATTATAGGGAATGTAATTTGAGATTTCATCAGAGCTACAAGGTAAATTAGCTTATTTCTCAAGGTCTTGTTCAGAGTGTATGGAATTTTAAAGAGGTATTTTAAAAGGGCATTCAAATAGGGCATTAAAAGGGTATTAAAACAGTGGTGAAATACCTGAACCCAGGACATTGAGTCTCAAGCTCACTATGGACGTGTGTTTTACAAAGCTAAATTGTGAGTTAACAGGTCCATTCTTAGGCACAATATGCTTAATTCCTTTTAATTATAAATCCCTTCAACTCATTATGCTTTTTAAAAGTAAAAAGAGACGTGGGGTGGGCTGCGGGGGGGGGGGGGGGGGGGGGGGGGGGGGGGGAAAGCAGTGCAAAATAATAAGAGCAGGACAGGCTACATAATTTCCCAGGCCCGGTACAAAATGAAAATGCAGGGCCCCATATTCAAAAACCAAGGATTTCAAGAGAGCAAGAGCACAGCGTTAGACCAAGCATGGGTCCTTCGAAGGGACGGGTGCGACTGCAAAGGTCTCACGCCCACGAAGCCAACCTGCAATGAGTACCCTTTTCATTCACCGGGTCCTCAATTCCCTGGTCACTGCGTGTAAGGGTGTAGGGATGGATGTTGGCTTTGTTGTCACGTTGTGGAGCTTTAGGTAAAACTCTATAAAAAACCCACAACTACGAATTACCCTGAAACCATGGGGGCCGGTATTACAATACAACACATTAATCTCTTTCTTTCAAAGAGTTTTTACAAGTGTGTGTGTGTGTGAGAGAGAAAGAGAGAGAGAGAGAGAGAGAGAGAGAGAGAGAAAGAAGAGAAGAGAAGAGAAGAGAAGAGAAGAGAAGAGAAGAGAAGAGAAGAGAAGAGAAGAGAAGAGAAGAGACCCCCGGGGGCTCACTGCCTGCTAGGGACAAGTCTGAGCGTCCCAGAAGACCGCAGGCCCTACTCTGGGAGCCTGCTGGGACAGCTCCCTGCGTTCCCCACAGGGATGCGGGCCACCGTCGCCCCTGGAAACCCCGGGAGAGATGCTCCCCTCTCGGTGACCTTTTCTCGGTTTCTTTCGCCCGCCCAGAGAGCACCTCCATCTCTCCCGGGCCCCCAGTACCCGCAAAGCAGGCCCCGCCGCCCCGGTGAGGGGGTGCTGCCCCTCCACCAGCCTCGAGGCTGGCACCGGGGGACGCGGCCCGCGCAGCGCCCTCCAGGGCACAGGGGCCTCCCCGCCCGCGCGCGCCCGGATCCCTCCTCTCGCATCCGCGCTCCCTTCGCCTGCCCCACCGGCCAAGTCTCCCACGCGCCCG